ACACAAAATCAAACTATACATATAACAAATATCAGTTTTTTTTTTTTTTTTTTTTTTTTTTTTATCTGTTCCACTTCTCAAAACAGTTTATCTAAATCTACTCCTAAACTACTCCTAAACGATCTACACTATTCAAACTACTCTCAAAATCTACTCAAACTAGCAATAATATCTCTCTCTATATATATAACGTATATATGTCTCTCTTTATCTACTCCGTAAATCTCCTGCCTTTCAATTTCGCGTCTTTGCTCAGTTGGCTCCTCCTCCATTCCGTAAAATGTGCAGCCTGAAGAGCAGAGTCAGCAGATTCACACGCTTTTCTCCGTTTTGTTTTATGACAAAAATCGACAAAGTTATTAGAATAAATGCAACGTCTGTCACATCCCATCTTGCGTTCTTTTACGAACGCGTCAATATACACGTCAATTTTTTTATATAAAGTTTAAATGATCATATCTCCGTTTTTACGTGGTCTATCAACACAAAACAAAAAGTAAAATAGAATTTCAAGCCAGCACTTTCGACAGAAGTGGACGGCAGCGCTCAACGTGACTTTGTTTTTATGCTTCGACGTCTTAAACTGGGCATGTGATTTGATCACGCCGGCGTGATCAGCGACCCCGAAGAGTTAACCTATCTTTGTAAGGCGATCTTGGGTGTTATAAAAGTACAAATTATTATTATAATGAATACCTGAGTGTGTGTCCCTGATCCTCCAGAAAGACTCCATAGTCCTTGGATATCTGGTGGCTGAGGTCAGAAAGGAGAGGGATTTTCATTGGTCCGAGACCTCCTTGCTTCCTGGGTGTGTTGATCCTGAAAAAGAAGAGCTGCAATGAGTCCTCACATATATAACATGTCATATATACACAATTCTATCCCTTTAAAGGTGGGGTATGTGATTTTCTTTTTTGACCATTTTTTCAAAATCACTTGAAATCCTATTCCTCCTAACCCACTTACAGCCACTGAGTTAGAAGCACTGAAATAAAAATTAAGGAATTTAATCATCTGTGGAACGGGCAGGACTCGAAAAACTCCAGCCAATCATTTCCAAGACCACCTAGAATCATTGGACAGTCAGTGCATCAATCAAACGGTCGTACCATACCCCTCCCCCATCCCCCTTCGTGCGCATACTCAAAGCTCGTGACCCAGTCACAGTAAGTGCAAGTCACCCCGGTACAGAGACAGAAAGTAAGTGCAATCTCGCGCATCTGAGTTTTGCAGATGCATGATTGCACGTCCATGTTCTTCGAATGGGTGGAGTCAGGGCCAGTGTTGGAGGAAAGAAGGTAGGAGCTTTTGAGTTGTGCATTTTCAAAATCTGCCGGCCGTTTTTTCAATCCCATACCCTACCTTTAAAGTCCATGTTAAAACACATATGTAGACCCAGAGAGTGTGTGTGTGGTCTAACCAAGCCAGGTGAGTAAACTGCGAGTCCACCGAACAAGCGACCACCTCTGCGTTGATGTCCCGAAACTCGTGCACGCGATCACTGAAGGCGATGATCTCAGTAGGACACACAAACGTGCTGTGGATCAATAATACAACAATCAGATTCATGAGAAATCCACCAGGAGTTTGAAAGTCTCTTCTGCTCACCAAGGCTGCATTTATTTAGTAAAAAATACAGTAAAACAGTTATATTGCAAAACATTATTACGCTTTCAAAAACTACAATTTATTTCTGTGATCAAAGCTGAATTTTCAGCATCATTACTCCAGTCTTCAGTGTCACATGATCCTTCAGATATCACTCTAATGATGATTTGATGCTCAAAAAAATTTCTTTTATTATCAATGTTGGAAAACAGTTTTGTGGAAACCGTGATACAAAACAATTTTAAATTTTGGGGGGTAAGAAGGTTTTTAACAAAAAAAGATAAATCAATGCTTTTATTCAGCAAGAATTCGTTAAATTGACCAAAAGAGACAAAGACATGTGCACATTTACAATATTGCAAAAGATTTCTAGTTTAAATTAAATGCTGTTCTTTCGAACTTTTTATTTTTCCGGATCAAAGAATCCCGAAAGAAAATTAATTTTGGCTTCCACAAAATTATTAGGCAGCAAATCATCATATTAGAGTGATTTCTGAAGGATCATGTGACACTGAAGACTGGAGTAATGATGCTGAAAATACAGCTTAGATCACAGGAACAAATTATATTTTAACAGATATTCACATTGAAAATATTCATTTTAAATTGTAATAATATTTCACAAAATAACAGTTTTAATTGTAATTTTGATCAAAATAATGCAGCCTTGGTGAGCAGCAAAGACTTGTTTTAAATGCATAAAAAAATCTTAATGATTCCCAGTTTTTGACAGTGTACATTGTGTAGTCAAAGCATGCTCACAAGTCCAGCGGGTAGAAGAAGAAAACCAGGTATTTTCCTCTGTAATCTGACAGTTTCAGCTCCTTAAACTCTCCATTGATCACAGCTGTTCCCTCCCAGTGTGGAGCTGGTTTAGAGACTAAAAAGAAAGCAAAACAGAAAGTTTAGTACATTATTAATGCAGATCTTTCAGCTTGTGTAGATGCATGCATGAGTTACTGTGTCTTTAAGAGATTCAACAGTCTTCTTAATGCATGCTGAAAAAATTGTCTTGGATCCAAGTCTTAAACCATGACGTGTCGTTAAAAGATTAATCAAAACACACAAACCGAGTTAGAAAGAGCCGATCTGCACAAACAAACAGCGCATATATTAATACCTCAAACGCTGATGTGAACTGGGCATGCAGACAAAATATTGAATTTATGCAACTTTTGTTCTCTCAAAATAAGTTCTATAGCAATTAAACAGACGTTCATTTGAAATCACTCCACCTATGTATCAAATACAAGAAAATGCTAACAGGCTAATTATTAGTAAATGTTGACAGCTGTTAGAGACACATGTAAAATAACATTGGTTTCAGTTAATAGATTCGTAATAAAAAAATTCGTAAGCACAATTTTTCATGTAAACTTATACATTGAGAATGCATGTGGTTTTAAAACGCATAAATGCTCGAAACACACTTTTGGCTTTGCTCAGGTGTAAGGAATGATCAGAGACGGGAGCGCGGAAAGTCTCTCCGGGATAAACGTGTCCACCGGCATAATTATAACACTCCTGCTCCTTCCTCCCGTTTGCACCGTCACACACAACCGATTCGGTGATTAAAAGCAGTGTGCACGCCACGCCGAGCCATTCTGTAGGCGTTTTAACGTAGCGACGGACATCCATTGCTGCGTCTTGCAGGAAGCACGTCTCTCCTAGTTTGATTATTATTCCTCTATCTGGCGCCGCGCACGGAGACGTCACCAATCTGTATGATAAACGGATTGACTACATCCGCATTCAATTGAGCGGGTCTCACGTGATAATTTGATGTAGAGATCTCCATCAGTCATGCACAAATGAAGAATTATTTTGTTATTTATTAATAAATGACTATTTAATAATACCCGTTTTTAAAAATATTTTTAATTAGTTTTATCGAACTGAACAATGAACATGAGTTTTAAAATGTCTTAGTATTTGGTTCGTCTGTGCTTTAATAAAGATCGATTTCACAAATTTAGTGCTTTTTAATGTTTATTTTTAATTTGATAGCATAACTTGCATTTTTTTTACTCTGATTAATGATTATACGATTTGACAAAAAAGCTTTATTTGTGTGTACTCAAAATTTACTACAAGTTTTTACATTATCTGTTGACTTGGTAGATTTTTTAAAACTGACCAATTTTGCTAACAGCCCCGGTTTTATCGGCAAGATATTAATAATTTAAAGATTATCGGTCTCACCAATACATCTATTTTGAATTTCCTTGTAAAATGTACATTTTTCAAGGAAAAAAAAAGTGTCTATTTTGTCCAAAACTATATTCACGTTAATGAAGAAAGAAATACACCTTTCCAAGGCCATTGTTCAGTAGTGCTGCGGTCATCCAGTCACACCGTGGCGCTGTAGTTCCGTTGTATATGATCGTCACTTCCGCTGCTGTAGTTCAGGACGGTCGTGCGCTGGCGGGAGTTCACCTATGAGTTCACCAGATTAAAGCCTTTTAAACCTAGTTATTGGTTAGTATTGGACATAAAACTATTATTGTGTGTCTTTCCACCAATTTTTTAACAGTGACTTAAAGTTATACGTAACACTTTTGTCCAAGTTTGTCTGAACGTGTCCCTCTTTGTTGCGGTTAGCGACTTTTTCCTTAGCAGCTACGTTAACTCGACGGAGCCGGTATGAATACGTGCCATTTGTTCTTAATCCGTGATTATACTGTGTATAATCGCGTTACATGTTCTTTGCGTATCTAAAATGTTCGATAATTCACTATACACTGGTTTTTCTGGTTAAGTTGATGGTTGGTTTATCGGGACACGAGCTGGACGCGCGCGCATGGCGCTGGCTATTGTGTGCGTAGTCTGTGTATTAACGTACTGATATGGCTGTGTATTCATAGTTATATCTTTAATTTTATACACGGTGCTCTCTGTATCTGCACACAAGCTATTACAAAAAAAGAATAGGATGTGTCAAGTCAGTGTTTTAAAACGATAGTTCACAAAAATGAAATTGTCATTTTCTCTTCCTCAAGTTCCAAACCTGTATGAGTTTCTTTCTTCTCCTGAACACAAAATGTATTTTAAAAAATGTGGTAAACCAAACAGTTGACTTGAATAGTTGGACCCCATTGACTTGAATAGTATGGGAGGAAAATACTATGTTAGTAAATTATGACATTTTTCAAAAATCTTTCGTGTTCTGCAGAATCAAGAAATTCATATAGATTTGAAACAACTTGAGGGTGAGTAGATGACAATTAATTTTTGGTTGAACTATCCCTTTAAGAGAAATGTAGGATTTGGAATTTTGATGACACATTGTGATTTATGCATTGTGAAGTCGAGTAGATACAATCTGTCAATAATAAACATTCATCTCCTCTCTGTTGTGTATCACAGCAAACCTCTGATACTCGTCCTTATTTAAACACCATGGGCGACAGCGATGACGAGTACGACCGCAGACGCAGAGACAAATTCCGCAGAGAGAGGAGCGACTATGACCGTTCCCGGGAGAGAGAGGACCGGCGGAGAGATGACTGGAATGACAGGTGAGGAAGAGGGAATTAACCTGCATAAGGGAATTACATTCACATTTATGTATTTGGCGGACGCTTTTATCCAAAGCGACTTGCATTGCATTTCAAGGCACACATTTACATTCTAATCAGTTCTGAATTAAATGGCAACAGTATATAGAACTAAATATATAGACACGCATTTAGACTTTAATTTGTCAAAACTGTGCAACACCACATTTTACACACTTTAAACTCAGAATTAATACATTCTTACTTTTTCAACCAGTCGGTTGCAAAGTATTACTGTATGCACAACTAACTGTGATTTGTAACATGCTGGTATTTATAATTCAGGTCTTCCATTTGAATTTCTTGGGGTATGATATTAGTCAAAAGGCTTGTATGTTTGCACATTTTTATATGTATTTCTTGTGGTTGTCGTTTACTGGCGGCCCTCGGCTAGAGAGTGGGACCGGGGCCGTGAGCGGCGCAGTCGAGGAGAGTACCGGGACTACGAGCGAGGCAGACGAGAGAGATTCTCACCTCCGCGTCATGACATGAGCCCCCAGCAGAAGCGCATGAGGAGAGACTGGTAAGAAGAAGAGTAACTTTCAGTGCTGCGTTGATGTATTTTTGTTGCCTGGTCCCACCAGACTCTCATGCATTTGATTTGTACAGAGAGTCTGGCCTCGCTCCATTGACAAGCGCTAACTTCCTTGTAGGCGGGTCCTCTGTTGAAGTCTAAAACTATTGGATCTGCCCAGAGTCACTCTGGATCTGCAATTACCAATCGCTAACGTTTGGTCGTGACGCATGACGACTCAAACTAGCGCACGACATCAACGACATCGTTCTCAGCCACTCCCTCTGTTCGCAGATTGGACCGGTACAAAATTTACTGGAGAAAACCAAAGAATATACAGCAAACCAGGAAAATGAAAATTGAGCCGAAGTACGTAGGAGGGCGGAGCCAAGCTAGTATTTTTGTAGGCCAGCCTGGAAATTAGCATCACCCTCGTTTCCTTGGTTAAAATCAATATGATTGTTCTATTGGCTTTTGAATTATAGTAGATATAAGCTCCGTGACCATCAAAAGGTTATATTTCTTAAATGTTTTGTTAATGGTAATCTTCACAAATGAAAACAACTTTAATGAATTTGGAATCTTAAGCAGAAGTGAAACAAATAAACATAGGCTATAAACTTAATACACCACGCTCGCATTACATGGTAAGTAACACTTTACAATAAGGTTCATTAGTTAATGTATTAACTAACAATGAGCAACACATTTGTTCCAGTATTTTTAAATCTTTGGTCATAAAAATCCAGCTGTTCATGTTAGTTCACAGTGCATTAACTAATGTTAACAAATACAACCTTTGATTTTAATAACGTATTAGTAAATATTGAAATTAATATGAACTAAGATTAATAAATGCTGAAGAAGTATTGTTCATTCTTAGTTCGCTAACTAAGGTAGTGAACTAATGTTAGCTAATGAACCTTACTGTAAAGCGTTTCCCACTACATCAATGACTACGTTTACAAGCAGCCAATAACCCGTTCAAAACCGGAATATTAGCAATAACCCGGTCGCGCACGGCCATGTAAACACCGGCAAAAACCCGAATATGACCCCTGGGTTACCCCTTTTCTAACCCGAATATTTGGTCATGTAAACGCGTATCGCCATATCCCCATCAAAAGGAACATTGATTTGTGTTCTGCGCATGTTTTATTCGCAAGGAATCTTGGTCTTGAGTAAAGGAACTTCTTTTGATACTTTTGATACTTCTTGTATGCGCCGTCTGGCAAAATAGTTGGCAAGAGTGTGATTTATAAATGCAACAAGGCTGTGAAAGTGAACTAGTGAGTAGATGAGTTCGGCATGATGACGTTAAATGTCCCTGACAACCTCTGTAGTCCCATTTAAACACTTATACCATATACTGTTTTCAAGACAAGTAAAAGCTTTACACTTGTGTATTTATACCCTTAATGTATTCCATGTCTTAGAATAAAAGGTGAAAATATCTTGAGCTTGTTCACCACAGACTTGTTTCAAGCATTTAACCAACAAAGAATCCCAGTTGACTTCAGGATGGTGGAAGGCAGGTTTTGAAAATGTGTAATCCCTGCATACCCTCTATTGTAGACTGATTATTTGCTTGGGGAAAACAATTAGAGCACCTTAGACTAAAACCTCATTCTGCATTTCTTCCTCTCTCTCATTTGTTTTCTCAGGGATGACCATGGAGGCGACCCGTACCATGGTGGCTATGATCTTGGTTATGGAGGCGGTGGAGGACCCAGCTATGCCCCCCCGCAGCCCTGGGGTCACCCTGACATGCACCTCATGCAGCCTCACCATGGGATCCCCATTCAGGCCAGGTGAGAGAGACGATAACGAGCAGCTGGAAAGTCCATCTCTAGGGCTGCCCTCGACTAAAAAAAAATGTTTTGGTTGACTAGTAGTCGTTTATTTAAGCCATTAGTCGACTTATCACGCGTTTATATTAATAAGCCATAAATCATAAGTAATGCGCCTTTAATTCTATATAAAATTGATAGCCTAATCAGCGCTCAAATGCACACATAAAGCTTGCCACAGCGCACCGGCAAATGTAATGATTATGAATGATAATTTTTTCCAAACAAAATTATTACATTTATCTTGCCTAAATGTTTGCGCTCATTGCATTTTTACAATGGGGTAATATTGTTAAGCATTTACACATCACAAGGAAGCTTGATTTAAATTGTTTAATTAAATTGAAAAAAGTAGCACAAATAAATACAATAGAATAAAAATACAAACAAAAGACAAAGAGAAAAGTTTTTGAATAGGTCTAACACTAGCATTCATATACAGAAACTGAATAAAGTAATCAAATGGAAAATAACACTGGGTAGTATTTTAGTCCTGAATAAATTAAATACATATGCTATTAATCCTGATTCCTTTAAACCCTCTGGGGTCCTTCATTTCAGAGTCACACTCAGGACCTTCGGGTCCAAATGGGCCGGAAGGGTGGGATTAATATTTATAAAAAAATCATCTTTTTTTTTTTTACTTGTTTTTTATAATATTTTTTCTTTTCTTTTTTGGTGTTTTGAGATAATTTCAATAAATAAAATGATTTATAATTTATATTAATGCAATAATTATGACCCATTTTTTTCCCCATTGAATATAA